AAAGGGAGTTTTTCCTCTCCACTGTCGCTACAAGCATGCTTAGTGTGAGGGATTGCTGAAGAGTCAATGAGTTTCCTTCGATAGAAAACTTTGAATCAATGTGACTGGATGATCTGGTTGATCTGGATCTATAAAGTAACCTGAGATGACATGATGTGAATCTATAGAAATAAACTGAATAGATCTCGACCCCCTGATGTATCCTGTGAGTGTTTTCCCGGGAGCCGGATCTGTCCCGGTCCACCTCTCTCTTCCTGTGAGGGACCCACGCAGCGTGTTCTCCGTGGCTCTGAGTGGGAGGAGTCTGGACTCGCTGAAGCCCCGCCCCTTTGGGCAGAAGGAAGTTTGGCTGAAGTATAAAATGAACGGCAGGAGCTTTGGACCGGCAGCACAGCGGGGAGCGAGCTGCTGGTCGGTACCGGAGGCTGAGCCGCGCGTGGACACACGTCACTGACCGCCTTTCATCTCACCGCCACCCCGGAAAGAGCGCAGCCATGGCGGGCAGCAGCTCGGAGCAGCGCGCGCTGCAGTACGAACAAACCCTGGTGAGTGAGTCCGCTGCGGACCGGGCCGAACCGAACCGGACCGGACCGGACCAGCCCTGGCGGCTGAATGTGGATCACAGAGCAGCCGGTCCATCCAGGTTCTGGTTCGGACTCCACTCATCCAGTCCTTTAACCTGCTTCGGTTCGGTTCGGTTTACTGGGTTTAATGGGAGAACATCTGGATCCAGATGTTTCACTGGAGCAAGTTGGGAAGTTTCCATTTCATCCTCAGTCATTCAGCTGACAGATAATCCAGCAGATCTATCTAACAAAGATCTATATTCCAGAGAGCTGAAAGGTTGGCCGGATGGCCTCCTTCCAATCACCCTAATCTATAGATCTATGGCCCTGATCACCAGCTGATCTAATTTAACTTCATAGTTTTTATTTTTAGGAGCCCTAAACTTTATTGAGCCACTAAGTCTCTGCAGCTGATAAGCTGCTGCTTGTGTTCTGGAACAAGAACAATCAAAGAGTCAGATTATTAATCTCAGATTATTCTGCTGGGTGTGGATCTATTTTCCTGAATCACTGAATGCAGAAAGATTTTAGATTCATTATTCAGCAGAATAATCGGCTCCATTCATGCTGCTCAGGTGGACAGGAAGGGGGGGGGGCATGTCCTTTCTGCATGTTTATGGGGGGGGGGGGGCTTTTGCCCTCTGGGTCCTTTAAAAAAAATCTTGTTTTTTTTAAATTTTTTTTTTTTTTGT